ATTTCTCGATGTGATCTTGATGTCAGAAACAATGGCAAGTCGCTTAGGAATAATGCACAACGGTGCAGCTGTTGGCACAATAACTTATTAGACCCTTGAACGGTGTTGTCCAACCGACCTCCACAAAGCACAGTCCTACACTGGCTGGACAGGGATGTCACATAATGTGATTATTGCATGACAAGTTCTAGGTACTTCTCCATCTTTTGCCAGTAAGGCTTTTATAGTCTCGCACACGACTTCAACTCCAAGACCACCAGCTGGTAAGGAACAGCTTTACCTGCTGCTCACACAACCGTAAGGCCAACCAGGAAAGGGGAAAGGAACCCGCTCTTGCTGGCTATGTAAGAGGCTGCTTGGTCATCTTAAATGCTCTCAGCTCGTTCCTTCATTGTGGAGGCTCTTTGAAGTCTCATCTCTCACGGATTCTCAGAAAGCAAGGAGGACACACTCTCTTCCTTAACACGTGAACTATAGTTTCTTTCCCCACACACCAGGCAGGCCTTATCCCTTGGTCTGCTATAACACATTGAGTGGAAGCAAACAGCAGCATGACAGCTCATGCTGGACCCCTGACCCCAGTGTGGCCTTTCGGACATAGGCTTCACGCCCTGTAGCACGGGCATGCCTGGACCTGACTGGGTCTCCCTGGTGGAGGAGCACTAGGAGTCCATCCCAAAACACCACTTCCATACCAACAGATTCATCTGCCCTTGCAGGGTATACAAATTAGACCATTGCATTGTTCAGTAATAAATGGATTGATGAAACGGAAGTAATTGATGTAGGAAGACAAGAAGCAGCTCCCGCCACGCTCTGATGGCGGGTATTCCTGGGTTTATGGGCCTGTTCAAATGTTGTTTGGGCTCCATCCTCCTCTCACGGAGAGGCTGCATGGTTTCTACCTGGCAGAAGCAGTTGATTGGGGGAGGTGTTCCAGGTAGGGGTGCCAGGAAGGGGACAGATAGATCGTTGCCTAGGGATGGAGGTCTCCAGCTAGTTGCTCAGCATCCTAGGCATGTCCCTAGGACCAGCGTGGGAGCCCAAGTCAAGATGCTTGGTTGTCCACGTTGTCCACTGAGATAGAGAGTGGGTAAAGGAGAGGAGAGAGCTCGCAGTTACCCCAGGGCTGGACAGATGGATGCAGATGGAACCAGGTGGGCAGGCAGAGGGTAGGAGGGTTCCTGAACTAAGACCTCAAGAATGATGGCCACGTGTCACCTGCTAAGCCATGAGCACAGGTGTCTTCACCTGGCTGGGCGTGGTCTGCTCTGAAGGGGCAGGACTCCACCAGACTAGAAGTGGGGAAGGTTGTTCTGGGATGGAATGGACAGAGCCAAAACAAGAGAAACAATATGGTGCCCTAGAAGGGACAAGATATGAAGAATAGGGGCCAGCAAATAGCGTGGTGGTTAAAGGCACTGGATTCCCATATGGCCGACCATGGTTCAAGTCCCAAACCTGGCAGCTTGGTTTCTCCCTTTCCCGTTCTCTCTCTTTCCACACTGGTCAGATCAAAAAAATAATAATAACAAATGGAATCAAATGAACAAATAATTCTTAAAAAATATGAAGATTAAGGAGACCTACGGTCCAATATTCTTTCTGCCACTGCGTAACTTGTAACTTGGGCAAAGAAATCACCCTCTCCAGGTCTCACTCATCCCCTCTACAGTGGAAATAATGACATGTGCTCAGTGTCTTACAGGGTTTGGTAAAGATAGTATCCGGCAAAGGTTTGAGAAAATACAAACTACAGAACACTGCCCCACCACAAGGTCTATCATGCTCACTTTGGGGAGGAAAAGTCTTACAAAAATCTAAACTAAAAGCCTATTTCAGAAAGTAAAGCAAAAAAATCAAAAATGAAAGCCCAAAATATATTCAGCCAACAAGAATTCTGTTCAGGCCAGGACGTGGAAGTCATTTTTTTTTTTTTGGAGAGGTTTTCGCTATAGGGTGTGTGCACTAGCCAGACAAAGAGAGACAGAGAGACAGAAAGCGAGAATTCACCCCCCAGGGGGGATGGCCATGCCGTAATCCCTTCTCCTCTATTCTCCTCTCGGGATCTTGGGCACGCACGCACACGCACCCGGAGTGAGTTTAACCCCCGGGTCTGGAATGTGAACCGCGGTCAACTATGTGGGAGTCCAGCGACATAGCCATTACGCTAACTGCTGGTTCCCAGTGGAAGTCATTTTTAAAATACCAGTTGATTCTGCTCTGCACCACACACCTTTAAAAGGGCTTTGCACTGGCCCTGGTGTAGCCTAAATAGAAAGTGCAGAGTAAACAGCAGACTGGGCAGAAGCACAGCCTCTCGGTGAGGTGAGAGGGAAATTACCAACCGAGTCTGGAGGACCCTCGAAGGGACACGCTCTAAACCCGAAGGGATGGAGTCAGGGCCTGGCAGGCGGCACTCAGGACCCCATTCCTGGGTCTGGGCCAGCACCCTGCTTCTGCAGGTCAAGCGAGGAGAAAAGGCTGACCCTGGATAAAGTCTGAAGAGACACATGAACGTGACTTGGGAAATGGATTTATTGCAAAGCAAGAGGTTCTTCGAGGCCCTCGGGAGGGTATCGAGAGGGCATTCAAAATGGAGGCCAGAGGGACCAGCATGTAGTGTAATGGCTATGTCACTGGACTCCCACGTAGTCGACCGCGGTTCGAGTCCCGGACCCGGTGGCTTAAACTCACGCCAGGCGCGTGTGCGTGCGTGCCCAAGATCTCGAGAGGAGAATGGAGGAGAAGGGATTGCGGCATGACCATCCCCCCTGGGGGGTGATTTCTCGCTTTCTGTCTCTGTCTGTCTGGTGAGCGCACACGCCCTATACTGAAAACCTCTCCAAAAAAAAAAAAAAAAAAAAAATGGTGGCCAGAAGTGAGGTGGAGAAGGGTCAGCGCTGTGAAGGAGGGGGGCTGCGGCTGGCCTCTGGGGAGCGGAAGGGAAAGGGTGGGAGCAGGCAGGAAAGCACGTACGGATTGGGCTCCACAGAGCAGCCTGGGCAGGGAGGCGGCCGGGCGAGGCTCAGGCAAACTCGGCCCCTGGGGACAGGCTGCCAGGCCAAGGCTGTGCTGACCTGGCCTTCTCTTCTCCCTGGGTGAAAAGTGCCACATCTGGGCAGCACTTGGTGGAGGACTGGGCCTGCCTGTAGGGGAGCGAGGGGGACCCTGGGAGGAAACGCAGAAGCAAACACTTGACTGAGGGGCAGGGAAAGCATGGCCCCCTCTTCCTCCTCCCACCCTGCGGGGGAGAGGGGAGGGAAGCGGCCTGCACTCACTCCCCACTGACCTTCTGCCCTCAATTTATTCTTCACCTCGTTTCCCAAGATAAGAGCGTGATGTCATCTGCTCTGTTACTCATCACGGTAGCAAACACGTCTGCTGCCAGTTCCCAAATGGCTTTCCTTGGAGTCACTGGGCCAAATGCGCTCCAGCCCCACTGGGCAGAGTCTGGGCCACCAGCCAGTTCCACAGCCCTGGGAGCACCCAGGCTCAGGGGCCCTCTGGCAAGTTAAAAAAAAAATAATAAAGTAACTGTAATGATAATAACTGTGGGGACCAGCAGGGGGTGTGGTGAAGGCGCTGGACACTCCCACATGGCCGACCATGGTTCAAGTCCTGGTGACTTGCTTTCTCACTTTCCCTCTCTCTCTCTGGTCGAATTAAAGTAAATAAATGAATAAATTAAATTAAATTAAAAAAAGAGTTCTTTAAAAAAATAATAGTAACTGTGATGAGCACCATGGTAAGAGCAACTGGTGTCTAGAAGGGCCTAGACCATGGGGAGGAGAACAGGATAGGTTGGGGACAGTTGCTCAGAGAGGACATTAAAGCTTTGACCTAGAGAGTAGCACTGCGGCTAGGAAACTACCCCTGAGGTTCGCCGTGTGGCTCGAGAGAAAATGGCTTGCTCCTGCCAGGCCCACTCACGCTTCTCATCTTTTATCCCGGCTGCCCAGCCATAGAACCTTCCGATAACCAGGTCACTGCAGGGCCCAGCAGCATGGGTGGGGGCCTCCCGGAGTCTCCCCCAGAAGCAGCAAGCAGACAGGTACTCTGGGAACACGGCCACACGCTCTAGAACAGCAGGCTGACTCTTGCCACACCAGCAGGCACAAGAGCATGCCACCACCTTGACCCCATGCTCAAGGAGGAAGGGTCTTCTGTACACCGTTAACTCTGTCCCCCGTCAATGGGTCTTCACTGCAGCACCTGCAATCGCAGATACACCAACACGTGTGTCCATCATCACGTGCAAGGGATGGGGTGCCGCCTGGCTTCCAAAATAAAACGGGGCAAAGTGCTTTCGACAATGTCTGGGTGAGTTCTGGTGGTCAGCAGTGAGGACAAGGTGGTGGTTCCTGTCATTAAGCCAAGCCTCGGTTCTGAGCACCTGCCTTTTCCAGGATGCTCCTTCTGTTGCCTATTAAAGCTATCAGTCCCTGAATTACTGACCTGAGCCACGGTGCGAACGCAGTCTGGAAGAGCAGCCCCCTCCAAGCCCAGCTGAGCTGACAGGCTGTCCAGTGCGAACGTGGAGGGTTTTATATACTTGGGTAAGATGTTTGTGATTATTCTAGGGCTTTTATTTTATTATTTTTTTTGGAGAGGTTTTTGCTATAGGGCGCATGCGTACGCCGGAAAGACAGAGACAGAGAGATAGAAAGCGAGATATCGCCCCTTAGGGGATGGCCACGCCGCAATCCCTTCTTCTCCATTCTCCTCTTGGGATCTTGGGCACGCATGCACACACACCCGGCATGAGTTTAAGCCACCGGATCCGGGACTTGAACTGCAATCGACTACATAGGAGTCCAGCGACATAGCCATTACAGCAACTGCTGGTCTCACTCTAGGGCTTTTTCAGTTAAAAGTCTCAGTAGTGCATTTCGGTTGCTCAACCTCAAGGCAGATGACTAAATAATCCAGACGGTCTCTTCAGGTTTTCAAGTGCATGGAACTCCCATGCTCACGTCTCATCCACGGCGCGGACTTACCGAGGTCAATGAGGATCGCGTGCTGCTGGGAGGTGAGCTGCTTCAGGAGTCCTTTGTAGGGCACGTCCTTTGGCTGCTGTTTACTGGGAAATGGGTGTTTAAGGTGGAACTGCTCAGCGAGAAATTTCCAGATTTCACCCCGATGATGACGCGGTACACCTTCAAGAAGGGCAGTAGAAAATACAGAGCAACTTTATGCACAGACACAATCTAATAAACATGAACTCGGGTGTCCTTCCAGTGCCCAATTCTTGCTGCATTGTAACAGTGGAGGCATGGAAGAGATGCAACCAAAAATCTGTTTCCCTTCCTTCCTTCCTTCCCACAATCAATTCTTCCCTCACGTCTCCTGGCTATCCTCTTTTCCTTCCCCTTTCAAATATGTATTGGGTCATCAGAAAAGTCACGACATATTTCTCTATGCATCAAGATTTTCTGACTACTGAATACTAAGTTCTGACTGTGTTAAACCCTGCAATGGCTAAACAGATGAGTAAGCTGGGGGCCCCTACCTGGAATTAGTAATATTAGTAATTAGTAATATTCTAGGGAACTAAGACCAAGCAGGACACACCATAATGCGAAATGTGATTTTGAAGGATGGAATCAAAGAGCAGTAAAGCTCAGATGAAGGAGCGCTGACTCATTTCCTTTTTTTCCCTTCTGCTAGAGGGTGTGTGTGCTCACCAGAGTGAGAGGAGAAAGCAGCCACCCACTCCCACACCACTGTGGGCCATGTGGTTTCTAACACTGCAGTTCCGTAGAGTATAGACTGTGCCACCCAGATGGGGCCACCATTCTCTCTCATGTCCTCCCTGTCAGAAACGTCCACACAGCTACTGAGATGAGTACCAGAGGAACATATTCTGTGTCTCTACCTGATAATTAATAATAAAACAACTGGGACCAGCAGGTGGCATGGTGGTTAAGGCGCTGGACACTCCCATATGGCCACCCGCAGTTCAAGTCCTGGGCTTGGTCGCTTGCTTTCTCACTTTCCCTCTCTCTCTGTGTCTCTCTATGGTCAAATTTAAATAAATGAATGAATAAATACAATGAAATAAATAATTCTGTAAAAAAGTAAAATAAAATAACCATCTATATTAGGTCATCAGGAACGTCATGACCTATTTTTCTGTTTTTCTATGCAAACATGTGTCATAACTTTCCTGATGATCCATCACATTTGAAGTCACTGGTAATCAATTTCATTTAACTGTTCTTCCACAGAAAGTTGCACTTGGCTCCCTCTAGGAAGTACTTAAGGTATAGTATATACTTTCGTTTCTCATAGATAGATAGATAGATAGAAATATCAGTTGTTAATAAAAGAAATAAAGTGAACCTGGAGGAGACATACAGCACCCCCCCTTTAACTGTAACTACAACCTATGTCTTCTCAAAATGTTTATCGCAGAGTTATTCATTAGTTAAATGCCACCCCCCCAAAAAAAAAAAAAACAAAAGAAAAGGTAAGTCTACTTCCTCTATCCTTAGAACCTGAGAATGTTACCTTATTTGGAAAAAGGGTCTTTGCAGCTATGATTAGCAAGGATCTTGGGATAAGCAGATCAGCCTGGATTACTTGGGGGGGGGGGGCTTACAGCCAGTGACAGTGACAAGTGTCCTTAAAACAGACATACAGATAAAAAGGCAAGAGGTAGCCTGGGACCATGTCAGCAGAGACCGGAGTGTCACAGCCACAAGCCGAGGATGGCTGGCAGCCTCCAGAGCTGCAGGAGGCGCCATGCAGCCCTCAGCTGTGGGATTCTGGCCTCTGGAACTGCGAGAGAGAAATGCCTGTAGTCTTAGTCAGCAGTTTGTAGTTAATTTGTTATAGCAGCAGTAAGAAACTAATACACGCTGACAGCTGTCTTGTATTATTCTGTCTCTTCTCTCCTCTACTACCTCTGCTCAGAGCTGTATCCTGGGTGCATGTACACACAAACACAGACACATGTACACGCGTGTACACACCAGTCCCTAATACTTCAAACTCGGAAGAGAAGTAAATGTCGACTGGGAGGCCGTCAGCTTGTGAAGTGATTTATCGCGGGACTTTTTCACAAGATATTTTTTTCCAAACTGGAAAATTTTCCCAAGTTACAAGAGTCCAATTTCCTCTTATTACTAAATCATTCCCATTATCTTATCAGACATTTTTTTTTTCTTTTTGAGGAAAGACATATTGGCTCTGTCGCTGGGCCGTCCTAGATATGATGGTTCAAAGCAAGCTTAGATTCTGTGATTTAAAGCAAAGGGTCATACAATAAGATCTAATGTGTTTGTTAAGAATGGCCTGGAACTCGCTTCCCCAGGCTCGGTTTTGCCTTCATTCCGAACCCACGAGAGGAGCCTGGCATACGACGTGTTGAGGTTTGGTTTTGTTAAAGATCTGTAGGCAGGGTTCTGGGTGGGCAAGAGGTCATTCCTAACCCAACCTCCCATAGAAATAGCTTTTTTTAAAAAAAAAAAAACGTATTTTATTTAAGCTTATTTATTATTATTATTTTTAATTTGACCAGAAGAGACGGAGACACACAGAGAGAGAGAGGGAAAGTGAGAAAGTAAGCTGCCAGGTCCGGGACTCCAACTGTGGTTGGCCATGTGGGAGTCTAGCATTTTTAATCACCACGCCACCTGCCGGCTCCCATAGAAATAGCTTTTTATTTTTACAAGTTTGAAAAGCAATGAATACTCATTGTTTAAAAGAAAAAAGATTTTGAAAATGCAAAAAGTATAAAGAAGAAAGTGAAAAACCATCTATAACTAGGATGAACCTATGATTTACATGCAAAGCAGGCTGCTTTTGGAAATGAAGAGGAGGAAGGCTAGGAAACAATGGTTTCACCAGGACAAGAGCCATGATCCAGGGCTGTGCCAGGTGCACCAGGAACCATGTCATCCTGCCCGTAACTCGGATACCCACAAGCACACTGTGGCTGTTCTTCTGTGCATACAAAAATACCAAGTGTACCCGAGACCATGCATACAGAAATACCCACTTGACGGAGACCACGTGCATGGGGTTGCCTTCTCACTTAACGCCTTATCTCAGACATCTTCGATCTCAGTAAATACACCTCTACTATGTAATGTTCTACAAACATGACATGGAATGGTCATCTGGTTGTTTTTTTTTTGGTTTAGTTTTGGCTTTTTTTTTTGCTTCAATCTGAAAAGAACAGATTCATTCTTTTCTCTGCTTTCTCCTTTTTCACTGCACCAATCTGGGGCCATGGAGTAAAAGGGGAAACTTCCAGCAACTGCTGCAGGTGCAAAGAACATACAGCAGGATACAATAAGCACCCCGCTACCCCGTTGGGTTGCTCAAGTTCTAGACTAAGTTTCTGTAAAGGGCATTGCTGGGCCAAAGGCCAGCAGAGTTTGCATCTGGCCCATGAAGCAACTGCTTGGGTGAACACTCTGCAATTGCGTGCCTAGGAAAGTATGTTCCAGCTTATACGGCTCTAGCTACATGACCGTAGAGAAATTTTTACTTAAACTAAATTTCAAATGATTTGAAACTTCATAGATGCTTCCTTTTCAGGTTGATTCCCAAATCGTGCCACTCCCATTGATTTTTGTTGTTGTTGTTTGTTTAACTTTATTTATTTAGATTTGACCAGAGAGGGACAGAGTGAGAGTGAGAGAGAGAGAGAAAGCAAGCTGCCAGGTCTGGGACTCAAACTGCGGTCAGCCATGTAGGAGTCCAGCGCCCTTAACTACCACGCCACCTGCTGGCCCCTACTCCCATCAATTTTAACTTGGAAAAGTTTATAGTTTCTGTCACTTAGGGGGTCTTTAGATCAGTAAGAGGATGGGCTTTATGGACTACACAGGATTGTCTTCTCTTTGAAGGTCTTTGAGCTGATCTAGCGTCCCCTTGAAAAGTCAAAAAGGTCCAGTTCTAACTTAATCTCATTTTAAAAATTCTGAGCCACAAGATGGACAGCAGTCATTTTCTAAACCTTCATATGTTGAAACCAGAAGATTGACAAAGCCCTCTCACACCCACCCTTTTTTTTTATTATTAGATTTTTGCCATAGGGCATGTGTGCTTGCCAGAGAAAGACAGACAAGAGATAAAAAGAGGGAAAGTGAGAAGTCACTCCCCAGGGATCCTTCCCCTCCATTCTCTTGGGATTCTGGGCACACATGTACACATGCCCAGCATGATTTTCATGCCACCAGGTCCAGGACTCAAATCCCATGTAGGGTCTAGTGCTCAAATCCCTGCTGGCCCTGACAAAGTCCCTTTTACAGTGAGAGAGACGGGCCTGTTAGGGAGTGGGCTGCACGGCAGGAGATGAGCAGCAATGAGCGAGGGAGGCTTCATCTGGATTTATAGCCACTCCCCATTGCTCACATTACTGCCTGAACTCCGCCTCCTGATCAGCAGGGGCATTAGAGTCCCACAGGAGCATGAACCTATTGTGAACTGCGTGTGCATGCGAGGGATCGAGGCTGTCCACTCTCATAAACCATCCCCACCTTGGGTCTGTGGAAAAATGGTCTTCCATAAAACCAGTCCCTGGGGCCAAAGATGTTGGGGACCACTAAAGTGAGTTATCTGGAAATAGGTTAGGAAAAGATGTCATGACAAGGAGAAAGATGGCCCTTGAAATTAGAACTTAAAACATGTTTATTCCACCTGCCTCTTCAATCACCAATGACCGGTGATGTTTTCTAGATCATTCCCAATAAATCTTACCTTGCCCAACAGCCGAGTGCATTTTTTCCATGTCAAACTTAATTTTTGATCTTCCAGGAGTGCTAAGCATCTTTTCCCACACTGTAGTTACTTCCTTAAGACAAGGAGTGATTTCTTCATAATCGAGCTTCAGGCGCTTATTCAGCAAATCATTTTCTGAGGCTGAAAAAGACCATTTGAGAATATGGTTGTAAGTGCTATGGCTACAGATCTTGTTACACAATATGGCTGCAACCTCTTCACCGCTTGAGATGTTTAGCCATCACAGCCAACAAGCCATCAGCCCAACTAAAGCCACCATCCCCGCCCCACTCCATTTTCCTTGTCTTAGAAAACCAAAAAACCTAGGAGGTGTCCTTAATGTCTCTTAGTCTATCACCTCCAGTGCATGCTGTTGCTCTACTGCTAAGACACAGCTCATATTTGTCTCATCTACCATCCTCGTTCTTTCCCCACTTACTTTCAAAGTCCTTTTAAATAATTTCCTGTATTTCTGGAGTCCTTTTTTTTTTTTTCTATTTAGGTGTTTGCCATAGAGCGAGTGCTCTCACCACAGAGAGACAGAGAAAGGGAAGTGAGAAATCACAACATGAGGGGTAGCCATGCTGCAATTCCTTCACCTCCATTCCCCTCTCAGGATTTTAGGCATGCACATATATGACCTGGCATGATTTTCAAGTCACTAGGTCTGGGACTCAAACTGTGATTGGCCATGTGGAAATCCAGCACCTTAACCACCATGCCAACCTGCTGGTTCAGGAGCTCCCATTTTGAAAAACATGTCAACCCTAGGGACCAGCATATGATGTAATGGTTACATCACTGGACTCCCACATAGTCGACTGCAGTTTAAGTCCCAGACCCGATGACTTAAAAAACTCATGCCAGGCGCACGTGTGCATGTGCCCAAGATCCCGAGAGGAGAATGGAGGAGACGGGACTGCGGTGTGGCCATTCCTCTTTGGGGTGATTTCTTG